CCCCGCCCCCCTTCCGCCCGCCCCCGTCGCCCGCCGCCCACCGATGGCCTCGAAAAAGTCGCCCTTGAGGTTGCGGCACGCCCCGCGCGCGTAGCCCGCCTTCACGTGGTTGGGGTCCAGCGTCAGCACCGCCGAGAAGTCGCGGATCGCGTCGTCCAGGCCCCCCAGCTTCTCGTGCAGCGCGCCGCGGTGGTACAGCGCGTCGACGCTGCGCGGCTCCAGGCGCAGCACGGCGCCGTAGTCGTCGAGGGCCTCCTGCAGCGCGCCTGCGCGCGGCGGGGCGGCGGGGGCGGCGGGCGGGTGAGCGGGGCCTGCCTGGGCACCAATCACCCGGGGATGGCCCGGCTCGGTCAAAGAGCGCCGCCCATTGGGCCGGGGCGGTGTGGCCAGGGGCAACATGCTGCATCGCCTCTCCACCGCATGTGCTGTTCCGTGCCACATACAGTCACTCCTGCCGCCCCTTGGCGGCGCACATGCGTGCGTCAACCGTGCGCCCGGGCCACACCGGACCCGGCGGACGTTCTGCCACCCTCTGCAAGCCCTTACCCACCCTTTTTACTGTATGACGATGCCCTGATCAGCAGGGCACGGACGTTACGCGGGTTATCACGGAGTTTGCGCCCGCACGCCTCGATCAGGCGATCGTAGTCAGCGTTGCGCCTGAAATAAAGGACCCGGTTGGGCGATTTCCGCGCTTCCTCATCCTTATCGATGAAGTCCTTCCGCCGGGTGAGGATCGGCCGGGAGAGGGCGTCCAAGTCGTCGTCTGCACCGGTCTGGTGCACCGACAGGCGCCTCTCTAGGCTCCCCGGGGCCGCCATTAGCTGCTCTAGGACAGCTACCGGCCCATGTGTACCAGCAGCGGGTCAACCAATCGCTGTGCGGGGCCGTTTCTGATACGGATGGGTGACAAAGAGCTTTGAATAGACGTTTTGGACGTGTTTCTTATTGTGAAACGACGTGGCTGTAGATCGACTGCGAGTGAGGGTGCATGTCTGCTGCTGCTGCAGCAGCAACAGGTGACACCGGACGCATCAGGCGCGGCACCAGGATACCGTGTGATCACATCTTCGTCACGAGCTCTTCAAGACAAATATATATATCAAGCGAGTACGTGCTGCTTTCAGCTCAGATCCGCTACTGTATGATATCAAATCATACGCGTTCAAACCCATCGCAATACACAAAATGGCGCAGCGCATAGCCTGCAGCGTTTTGGTCGCGGTGCTCCTGACAGTGTGCTGCTCAGGGACGACCGCGGCAGTGGGTGCCACAAACATGCAGTGTGGCTCGGCTGCTGGCGGCACCTTGATTGACCTGACGGTCCCAGTGCGCGCGGGCATGCCGGTGTGGGCAGGCCAGACAGGACTCGCACGGAACTGGCGCGCCCTCAGCCAGTGAGGCAGGGTTGAGGGGGACGGTTGTGCTGCTGGCCCAGCCTCGCCCGACCTGACCACACTCAGCGGCAACCGTGACCTTGCAAAGCCACTGCGCCTCCGCCTGCAACGGCACATTGCCGTCTCGCTGCTCATCTTGTTGTAGGCCCTGGCTTTGGCGGGCCGGGCGCACCCTACACCCTTTCTGCCCATCCGACTGGCATCCGCCATGCAGATCACAGGACGAGGGTGACATCGTCAACCAGAGCTTTCTAACACTCGATGCTCATACGGGCACCCACATTGTGGGTGGTCAGGCCTGTTGTTGAATAATTACACAAGGGGGAAGCGGCCGCCCCCGCTTTCCGCCACGGGTGCACGCCTGGGGCCGATATGAATGCCGCTTCCGGCCGCGCGTGGGGCACCGCGCACGCCGCCCCGCCAGCAGCCGCGATGCCTTGGATCTCAAAAGCCGCCCTGCACACCCGTCGCCCCTGCCAGGACGCCCCCAACCACTTCCTGAACGGCGGCGCGACCATTGAGCAGCTGCCGCTGTCGGCCCTCATCGGCCCCGCTGACATCATCGACGTGCCCGACTCTACAAACGTGACGGCCGACGCCCTCCGCGCCCTGGACGTCCCCGCCGACGCGACGCGCCTGCTGTTCCGCACCTTGAACACCAGGCGGCGCCTGATGGAGGTGACGCCGTTTGCGAGCGACTACGTGGGGCTGGACGCGTCGGCGGCGCGATGGCTGGCGAAAGAGCGGCCGGGGGTGGTGCTGGTGGGGATCGATTACGTCAGCATTGGCATGCTGGAGGATATCGTTGAGGCCCACAAGGAGCTGTTCAGAAAGGTGGGCGCGTGCGGATGCGGTGTGTAGGTTCCGTCATTGTATAGATTCATTGTGAAGATTGCGATGCGCAGCTATGTGTTTGTGTGTGTGTGTGTGTGTGTGTGTGTGTGTGTGTGTGTGTGTGTGTGTGTGTGTGTGTGTGGAACAGCAACGGAGACGGGTGGAAAGCAGCCAGGGCATGGATCAGGAAATGTGGCTTGAGAATGAAACGCCCGCGGCGCCAGCGCGTCACCCAACAGCAGAGCATCAGTCTTGCTTTTCAAGAGGGGCGGATCAACCCAAGAGCTGTGGGAGCTCCGGCCTCCCGACTTCATTTGCTCAAGGTGACCCACTTACACAACGTGCACGCACCTGCGCCGCCACGCCGCTGGCGCACCACCGCGCAGGGCACCGTGGTGGTGGAGGGCCTGGACCTCTCCGCCGCCCCCACCGGCCGCCACCATCTCACCTGCCTGCCGCTGCTGTTGGTCGGCTCCGACGGCGCTCCGGGCCGCTGCATCCTGCAGACGAACTCTCAGGGCGCTTCAAAGTGAAATGCGCGAGGGATGGCTCGCGGGCTGCTTTGACGGCAGGTTTCTGTTTTTGGGGGCCTGGCTTGAGCCTTGCAGGCTATGCTTCCAAGCTTAGTGCACTGCAGCTGCGGCCATTACTGTTTGCTGTCGCTATTTTTTCTTCTTCTTCTTGTCTGCCTGTCCTGCTTTGCTTCTGCTTCTTGCCTGCGCAATGCGATATTCCGCCTTGCCTTGTTCAATTGCATGACTCTTACAGGCTTCATGCAAACAATTCACAAACAGTTCATTCATGTAACCCTCAAGCGGCCGCGGTGCGGAGATTCGACATGCAGCCAGTGCAAGGACTTTTCCTTGCTTGCCGCGCAAGCGTGCAACGGTGGATTCACCACCCACTCTGGCTACAAAACACGCCCCCCCCTCCAAAAGACACACACAACCACTACCACTACAATCAACAAAGCCACAGTCACGCTGCTAGCCCTGAGTGGGCGGGGCCCAGCTGCTCCCAGCAGGAGTGGTCAAGGAGTGCATTCTCGTTTGAGCTCGCAACCACATCTGAGCTGCATGCAAGCTGGAATCATGCAAGCTTGGTGTAAGCAGGGAACACGCAGGAGGCGATGGGGGCCGCCCAGAATGCAGGGCACAATTTCAAACCCAGCACTGTGGACTGTTTCGTTTCCAAAATTCCTCCAGTGCGTTCATGTCTGGCCTGCAGCGTGGCACCCCGTATTGCAGGGGGCCAGGCTGCAAGCGCGGCAGCATGCAAGTGGAGATGCGCCCGGATGGCGCGTGCACGCGCTATTGTTGCTGCCGCCGCTGCCTGGGCCTTCAAGGCGCTTTCAGTCGCGCTGCCGTGTCTCGCGCGTCAGACCTTGAACTTCACGCCTTGGTGACGAGGCGCAGGACATCGGTCAGGGTGATGATGGACACGGGGGCGCCCTTCGCATTAGTCACGTATACGCGGTGAATCGCGTGGCCCACCAGCGCGGCCAGCACCTGACCATGTTCAATTTTGAATGGAACAAAACACATACTCAGGGGGCGGCGTGGTTGGGCTGCAAGCTGGAAGCTCGAGTGAGGAGGGTCGGGGCAGGAATGACAAGGCACGGCGGGTGTCCAGGCGACCAACGAGCCCTTCCGCCCAGGTGCGAGGCCGAGCCCCCCCCCCCTGCAGGGGGGGCCCCAGGGAATGGGCGCGGCGGGGCGCGAGCAGGAGATCTGGGGTGGTGCCACGGCGTGGCACGAGGCCGGTCAAACCAATAGGCGGCAGGGGCGCACCTCCTCGAGGGTGCTGATGAGCGATACGGCGACGGCGGGGCCGAGGGCACGCTTGGCCGCGAACACGGCGGCTGGGAGCAGCAGCAGGGGGAAGTCCTCGGCGGCCAGGCCCCTGGGGTACAGCGAGGAGCGGCAGGCATGAAGGGGGTTGTGCGAAGGGACTGCAAATTTGTGGCTGGTTGCATTCTGTTGTGCCTCGACTGCCCAAAAGAACAGGCTGATACACGTTCGGCAACCACTGAGGCTGCCTGGTCCTTTTACGTGTGTGTGGCGCGCCATGAGCTGCCTGTCTGAAGCGGCCAGGCATGGGGTGGGCCCCCGCTGGCTGAACGCTGTTGCGTCTGTGGGTCTTCAACAAAAGCTTTTGCGCAACCGCTGATTGCACGATTGCTCGGGCGCCGTTGACCTTGGTCACCGCCAGGCTGCGGGCACCGCCCCTTCCATTCAAGCCCTGAAGGCCCCGTGCCTCCACCCTTTAAACCGCTCCCCCCCCCTGCCTCAATCACGCCGCCCGATTGCACAAGCCCTGCAAGCCATTCTGAGAGCCCCCCTCATGAGCGGGTGACGGCCGCTGCGTGGCGGCCCCAAAGGAGCGCCCAGGCACCGCAGGTGCGCGGCCGCTCACCTCAGGTCCGAGGCCGAGAGGCTGCCCACCAGCCTGCCGTCCTCGACCAGGCCCAGGCTGCTCGTGTGGTCGCGCGCCATGAAGCCAAACGCCACCAGCGCAGGGGTGGACGCCTGGGGTTGGAGGGTGGTGCAAAGGGGCCAGGGCCAATCTGGGGGTTGGTCGGGGCAGGGGACCAATGTGGTAGTTGGTTCGGGGCAGGGGTTGCAAATTTGGGGTGGGTGGCGGAGGCAGGTGGGGTTGGGCCGCTGGGACGGCCATGCAAGCGTGGCATACTGGCCGCGTCAACACGCCCTGTCAATGCCAACATGCACTGATCTCCACTGGGCCTTGCACCTGCAGACCACGCAAACACTCGTGCGGCCACGCACCTGCACAGTCAGAGCGGCGCCCACGTCCAGCTCCAGCTCCTCAACCGTGGAGGACAGGGCGCCGCCGAGGCAGGCGCGGCTGTCATAGAGCAGCTTGACCACGTCTGACTGGCTGACCACGTGGGTCACCTGGTGACGCCGCCATGGGGTAATCAGTACGGGTCTACGGGTGAGAGGTTCAGGCACTACGAGGGGGCCTGGCTCGGCATGCTGTATTAAGGTGAGCATGAGAGGCTTGCATGTGATTTGCAGCAACCTTCATGGGGGCAGCTTGAGAGGCGGGGGCTTTGTGGCAAGATGGGGACGGCAGCGGGGCAAACTCGCGCCGTGGGGACGGATTGGGCACGCACCTTGAGGCCGGTGGCGTCAAGGCGCGCGCTGCCGGGGGTCACATTGACCACGGTGGTCTTCTGGCTGGGGCTGCGGATCATGCGGGCGGGCTGGGCGGCGGAGCAGACATACAGACGGTGGTGCACCTGAAGGGTGGGTTGTGGGCGGGGCAGGGGAGAGAGGCAGCTTGCACTGACCGTTGGTGACTATGACTGACTTTGTTCTGGGTGCCGGGTTGCTGGACGCCCATCCCATACGCCTCTGGCGCCTGGTGCAGGCAGGCCAGCAAGCTCTGAAACTGGCATACCCTACATGGCTTGGTGCACCACAGCTCCAGCATTCTGCCGCACGCAACATGGAAACCGCTCCATGCACACATGATGCATGCATGCCAACCATCTTGTCCAACGTCCTGTAACTCCCCCCTCGCCAACAACCGAGTAAATTCAGCCTGCCAACCGTCCCAAACTTTCCGTCACTCAGATGCGTGCGTGCTCGCTCCACACGACACGCACGCATGCACCTGAATGCGCACATCAAGCACGACACACACGCACACACACACACACACGCACACACGCACACACGCACACACACACATACACGCACGCGCGCGCACGCACGCACGCACGAACGCACGAACGGGCGCGATTCATTAGTGCGCCAACGCCGGTGCCACAAACACACCCAAGCCCCTCACGTTCTGGTCCTGAATCCTGAAGGACTCCATAACGGCGTCCATCAGCGTGGACGCGTCGTCAGCGCTGAGCAGCCACAGGTCGCCGGCGTGCTGCAGCTTGTCCACGGTCTGGGGGCGGGTGAGGGGAAAATGAATGGAGTTCTGATTGAAAGCTTGTGTGAGGTCCACAGGGAGCGCGCGTGTGTGCATGACGAGTATGGGTGCGTGCTAGGTTGTGGCAAAGTTGGCGTGTTGGTGTTGGAACCTGTCCCGCAGCTGCGCGGCGGCTGCGGTCGCTGTTGGTACGGCCCCTTGGATGTGTGCGTGCCCAACATTGGGCACCTGTTGTCAGCAAAACGCGGCTCGCCTGGGCGCAAAAGGCCTTGCCAAATGCCAGGAGGTCGTCGGGCGTGGTGGAGTCAAGCTTCTCAACCCTGGGTGATGGTGAGAGCACGGAAATGGCGACCATGACGGCTGGCCCAGGGCGGCTGGGCATGGACAGGCAACTGGCAACGAACCACTATTGCCCACTGCGTGGTGACGAGCGGGGCGCCCCACCCTGCAGCCACCAGTGCGCGTGGCCGCCAAGCACGCATGGCCGCCATTGAAGATCCCTGGATCCTTTCAAAGGACCCGGACTCTCAATCGCGAAACCAGTCGCGTGGGCGACGCGTTTAATCCGACAAACCTGGGCCGGGGCCCCAAGGGCCCCTCACACCAGGGCCCAAGCCCCACTGCCATCACACCACCCCCGCCCTCCCTCCCGATCACGTGGCCCCCATGGCCCCCACGGTCATGGCGCCCCGCTCTCCTGAGC